CATTATGATAAAACATTGGTTAATTTTTGAAATCCTACATCTATAATCTAATTAATTTTATCTATTCAAAATTTCATCGACCAAATAAAGTATAAAATATATCTGTAGTCTTGCTTATATTGTATATGCTGTAAAATACTGGACTTCTGTTTTTTGTCATCATGAAATTAAATTTACATCCTGTTTTGTTCCTGCTGGTATTTAAAATTTGTCTTTGTACAGGTGAGTACATATACTGGTTTATTTTAAATATTACTAACCTTTTTTTATTTCCTTCTTAATATTTAGTAAAATAAGTTGTGTTAATTAACTTAATTTTTTTATCTATGCATACATTGCTAATTTATTCTTTGTTTCATATTCCATTTCATTTATGCTATTTATAAAGTTGAGATCAATTAGCCAAAGGGACAAAAATACAAGAAAAAAACAAAAAACAAAACAAGTTCCGTATACTATTGCCAAACTATGATAAAAAATGTATCTGCAAAACAGATAATAAGTGCAATTAAATAGACGAAGAATGATAACCTCTGGTTACTTGTTTGTTTGAAAGATTGATCCCAGGCCAAAGGAAGTTTTTCTTTGAAGCAAATATTCAGTTTCTCCATGGAATAGTCATTAACCAAAAGTATCCACTATCTACTATAAACAACTGTCATACAAGTTGGAGGTTAAACTAGCTACAAAACAAGGTTTAACCCACCATTTTCTTTGGAAAATGCATGTATCAAGTCAGGAATATGACAGTTGTTTTCCACTCTTTCTGTTGGTTGATAACGTTTGAATTTTTGTATTTTTTTATGAAATTTCCATTTTTGAATTTACCATGGAGTTCGGTATTTTTTGTTTACTTTTTAAATGACTTAAAAATGCACTTTACAATACTTGACCGAAACCTCCAAAAATATGGTATATGTTAGCGGCACTGGAATCAAAAATGTTAGAAAAACAAAACTACAAACATGATAAACGTGTTTAAATCATTTCTCATTACAAATAACAATTTACTAGTCATTCAATTCACCGTTTCAGATACTAATGCATTCTGGATGATATTATCAAAAGTTTACACCAAAACGTTGTGATTGGTTAAGAATGTTCTAAACAATGGAAATTCAACCAATGTCGTGACGTTATATTCATTTTTGGGGTACGAACAATGAGATTACTCATAATCCTTTAGTTTTTTGAAACGGCCAATTGAATACTTGTATTTTTCTTTCACTTACAAATCATTATTATCTAGGCTGTACAATTCAGTTGCTTGGTGAAACCTATCAAGTCAGAATCGGAGATGGAGTTGAAATAATCGAATATAATGATGTTGACAAAGACACGTGTCTGTACAAATGTTTGGTGAGATCAAAGTGCTCCCATATTGAATACAGAACTGGAGGAAGGTGCAAGTTATTTGAAAGTGTTAACAGCATTTTCTCAGTACTAAATCCATCTTATTCAATATATATTAGGGATTGTACAGGTATGAAAAGTTATTTAACAAATAACCGTTAAAAATTTCATCGTCGGACAGCCGGAATATGATAAATGGACCGCAATATAACACATATTTTAATGAACTAACGGGGTCGACTGGGGTATAGAAATATTAACCGATCTTCTCCAATCTGACCGTAAAACCCATTCTCAGCGTACGTCCGTTGAGCTGTGCGGGATGTAAAGATGATCAGCCACGTCTTAGCCAGAATGAGAACGTTAAATCCGGAAAGCGTTAACTTGACTGTTAATGAAAGAATCTTTGGAGTGTCTGTAGGTATTTCTTCATTATCCAAAAAACACTCTCTAACTAGTAGCAGTCATCACGTCCGACTCACTGTGTGGACCAACCTGTTGTAATAATAGTTAATTTGTTATGAGCCTAAATATATATGAATTATATTGCCACTGTTCATTAAGGAAGCATTTCCAAAATCAATCAAATATAATATTTCAGTGCAAATGACCCGTTTTCTGTAATCACCATAATGAGATACATTTTAGACTAACTATGCAAAATTCAAATTCAGGAAATACAAGTGAACATCAAAACCAACAGTACGTTGGTGTCAAAAGTTTAAATAGTCATAGACTGATCATGGAGATGCAATTTTAAAACTAGTCTAAAAAGTATTGAAAATTGATTCTTGAGGATAAATTAAAGAACTGCATTTTTTTTTTATCTTATCAACCGAAGAATATTTAAACAGACGATATCGAACTAAGGGCTCTCTGTTTATAAATGTATCTAACTAAAAAAACTACAGAAAAGAAAAGATGAAGAACCTTGATAAAAGCGTTGTTCCTTTGCTTTTGCTTGCATTCGGTGCGTGCAGGATTTTTTTGTAACAAATTAAACAAATCAATTCTCATCCATAAAGGATTCCACATGGAAATTTCTCCTTTCGTAAAACAATATTAGAATTGCCACGTCGGTTAAAGTACGTTTTCATTTATAGATTTCATAATAATAGTTTATATGAAGTTTTCTCTTTCGTTTTTTTATGTTTGTTTTGCTTGTCTCAAATGGTAAAAACTACATTGCTATTTTCATATATTTCTAGATGGAAACAACATGGGGACCTTCGAGCACAAGTATTCTGGAACCTCGTTTTTAGAAATGAAAATTGTTGTACCAGTGACAACACGTCTTAGATGTGCTTACCTTTGCCACATTGATACAGAATGTTCTGCTTTTATTTACGATATTTCTCTATTAAAATGCACATTCATGAGCGAAGATGCAGTGTCTGGTGGAGACGATTGTAGTAAAACTCTTCAATGCTTTTTAAAACTATAAAATTGCATATTTTATCTAAAATGCAATGGTACAAATCATATTACACAAGCAAATATCTTTTTTATATGTTTTACATTGAAAGAATACTGCAAAGACTGAACATTTCAAAATCAATAAAATATTTAAACACTAAATTTGCCTTTATCCTCTTGTAGACTCCGAAGGGTTTCAGAACTATAATGCAGTTTTACACGTATGAACGAACTATAAAACTTGACGGACCAAGAGTTAGATTTGCTTTTCAATACAATAAGTCATGAAGAAATGAAGTATATATTGATCATTATGCATACAACATGTACAATCACATTGTGGTATAGATATGATATTAATGGATTTGGTTCTATATTATAAAAAAATGGTTTGTTGCACATTCGTTTTTTTTATTTCTGTCTTTCATGTTTGCTGATGTGCTTTGTCTATATGCCAATTTTTTTCTTTGTTGGCATATTTGTTTGTTTTTTTATAGTGATTAAGATTATAACACAAGGTTGACTGCTGTACCCTATTTGTGACATTTTTACCTATTATGTTTGTTTTGTTCACACATTGTTGACAATATAATGGAATCTCATGCTACTGTCATACAAGTGAGAGGTTTAGCTAGCTATAAAACCAGGTTTAATCCACCATTTCGACATAAGGAAATGTCTGTACCAAGTCAGAAATATGACAGTTGGTTTCCATTCGTTTGATGTGTTTCAGCTTTTGGTTTTGCCATTTGATAAGGGACTTTCTGTTTTGAATTTTCCTTAGAGCACTGCACCAAAAATAGTCTTTCGATGCGACTAAAAGATAAAGGAAAGGCCCTCTTTCGATTACCTTTTATCCAATTTTGTTCACATTTTAAAAAAAATCAAAAGTTACAAAAGGTAGACATTTTGTATATCTTTTGATGATTCAAAAGGCAGTTGAAATGGCCCACTTTTTTTTTGTCAAAAGGTGTATAAAAGGGCAACTTTTGGTATTTAAAAAGGAAGACAATAGTTATATCAAAGATGGACTTTTTTTTTGTCATAAGGTGTATAAAAGGGCAACTTTTAGTATTTAAAAAGGAAGACAATAGTTATACAGTATCAAAGATGGACTTTTTTTGTCATAAGATGTATAAAAGGGCATCTTTTAGTATTTAAAAAGGAAGACAATATGTATATCAAAGATGGACTTTTAGTTATTCCAAATGTATCCATATCAAAACAGAAGTTAGACTTTTGGATAAATTTGATCCTCAAAATAGTACCTTTTGTTCAAAAAAATTAACAATTTTATACCTTTTGGAAACAAAATGTTGATAAAATATGAACAAAAGAAAAGCATGGTAGGCAAGATTTCCATATGCATAGCACCTCTTTTTTTTTTATGAAATATGCAGAGAGAAACTATGTTTGGGTATCAAAGCAAGTTCAAATTAAGCAACTCATGACAAAAGATAGGCAAAAGGTCAACATTTGATGGCATTTTATAAAAAAAACAAGGTGAACTTTTGAGATGAAAGGCATAAAAATGTCAGTCAAATATGACCTTTTGAATATCAATTTTGACATAAAAGAGACCTACATTTTTAGCTTTCTAGAGTGTTGTAATTCAAGAAGGTCACCAGAATGCAGCCGTTTTGTACTTCTGCATGTCTTAAGGGGCCAAGTCTTATCACAAACGTAAACCTAATATCTTAGTCAAATAATAATGTTTCCTGCTCTAATCTTCTATACCCTCATCAGTGGTTTGTCCTGTAGTAAAATGTGTGTACTGTTTTTGTTTACATGTTGTATTGTGTTCAGGGTGTGATACCCTCAATGAAGCATTTGAATTAAGTTTCTTTTGCAAAATCACCTGTCCAATGGCAAGTTTTTAATATATTGTTGCATTTGAGTAGACTCAATTGACCAGTCCATAGGGTCTTCTTGTAAATGGTGATTACTTTTACTGCCTTGTTATTTGTTCAACATGTTCAAGTCCTTTTATAGCTGACTTTGCGGTAGGGTCTTTGCTAATCATTGAAGACAGTACAGTGACCTGTAGTTGTTTATTTCTAAGTAATCTGGTTTCTTATGAAGAGTTGTCTCATTGGCAATTATACCATACCTTCTTTTCTATATTTATATAACTTAAGAATTCATCTATAAATAGTCATTTCATATTTGCTAATTTGTTTTATGCACTTGAATCGCACCAAAATTGCAACAAAATGAAAACATTTTTTTTAATTTGTTTTTTAATTATTATTTGATCATCCACTTCAAGTTATCCCCCACATCTGGGGTCTCTTTATTGTTCATGTCCCCTATGACTCTGGTCTGCAAAAGTCTTCTGCTCTTGGTGGAGCATATATCTAAATATGCTCCATCCAATTTGGCTTTATACTCTTTGAACTTGGGCGACTGCCAAGAGGGTTGATGGGTTATAAAACCCTCTTGGCCTTCTTCATCTGAGGACATGTACATTGGCTTTAAAGCCTCTGTAATTTTGGCCTTTTTTACTGCGCTAATATCATGATTTTCAAGTGCTACTAGTCTTCTTTTTGCTTTCTGAAAAAAAAAAGATTTAACATATAGAATTGTAACCTTTAAAAGATTCATTTAGTAAATACAATTTTCTGTAAGCATTAAAAATAATGTGATGTTTGGTTACATACAGTACTGAAACAAAAAATAGGGTTTGTATGTTGACATTTAGTCATTATCTTATCATCATCAGTAGTCATTATCCCTAAAAAGACAATTTTTTTTCTCTTGTTTTTTTTTACACACTGTGTATCTGTAAGCTGTTTTTTTAATCAAGAAATTTACTCCAACTGAATACTGAATAAGTCAATCTAACAACAAAACCTGACAACTAAGTTGATATTGAAAGAACAAAGGTCACTGTACCTTATAGCTAGGTAAAAGTGGTACATGATTGAGCTTATAAAATATTATCATAACAAAATAGTCATTTTCACATTCATGGAACAAATATCTTTTCTTTCTCAGAGTCTTTCTGTGTATTTTAAAATGTCCTATAATTGTACAAGGAGTATTATCTATGAGTCTTTCATAAAGACAGAGCTCCAGATAAGAATTCACAAATTGGGGTTTTTACCCACCATTTTTTTATGTAATTGGGTGATAAAGTTTTTTAATTGCATTATCAATTCCAATTCACCCCTCAAGCAAATATCAAATTGGGTTTTTCACCACCAAGCTCCTTAATGTATTGGGTTTTTTCATCAACACAATATTGAATATTTAGGCATGTTATAATCACATTATATCAACCCCAGATGTGTTTCCATCAAATGTGTTTCTTTCTTTGTAGAATATGTGCTAGCTGTTTTATTTGGTTTATTCACTGACGAGCAATTGTACATTTCATTTGTGTCCCGTTTTAAACGTTCTGTCAGTTTTGTATTTTCTCAAAACTTATGTAAACTGCAGCTGGTGTCACTAGTTGGACAGGAACTAATTGCCTTTCTAGATCCCATATGATCACCCTACAGTTTAATTATAGTTGGGGTAGGTGTGGCTAAGTTTTTAGATTTTTGTGTAATATATGTGAAATTTAGGTGCTGTAAGAAAGTTTTGCCAGTCCTTTCACCTATTTGCCAGATCTACTTTTTAATAAAAATAAAAAGTAGTTTCCAGATTTAAGATATACCCCAAAACCTTGAGTTTTATAGGGTGGTTTATAATGACGGAGACCACATTCAACTTAAATTTACAAATAATCCTGCAACATCAAGTAAATAAATGACAATGTTATACTGCACTTGCCAATAAGACAACTATCTTAAGCATCTAGAACAATTAGACCAAAACAAAGAAAGTGTCAAGCTGCATTGACGTAAAAAACGGATATGTGCATGTATTCACTCATCAACTAAAATGAAAAAAATAATATATAAACTGTTTTCGTTTAATTCAATTTACATAAATCTGGGTTAAGTTGTCCCTTATCAGAACTTTTGGTTTCCGATGCTTTCAAACTACATATCATGTCATAATTGATTTGGCCTTTCACTTTTTCCAATTGATTTCGTTTTTGACGGAACCCCGTGATTATCGCTCTAGCAATGTTCTCGTTATGGTACGCAAACACGCCCGTGCGTTCAATAGCCGCTTCCTAAAATCACTAGCTGAGTCTTGTTATCATCATAACTTTCCCTCAGCTATCAAAAAGAAGCCGAAAACATGCTTCTATTCAATATTTTTACCGGACATTTACTTTCGTTTTAATTCATTGTATGTTATGATAAATCCCGAGCAATTCGAAAAAATATGACAGCATGTCACACGCTAATTGGATAAACGCCGAGAAGATCGAAATGTTTTCATAAACACGTGTACCTTTTGAGCAACGGAAAATTCCAACAGGGACCCATTGCTACTTGATGCAGGGCTCTATTTTTAGAACGAAAGGACATTTCCAATTATAAATATTATAAAAATAGATTTACGCGACGACTGTAATCAAGTAAGGGTAAATAACGCAAACGATAGCGAATAAAAGCGTTAAGAACCCATGTTTTTGGCATATAATTGGGTTTTCCTTTGACTTAATTGAGTTATTGAACCCTGCAATGGGCAATTGCATTGGGTTTTTAATTATTTTTATTGCGTGATCACGCAAATACGCAGCTTATCTGGAGCTCTGTAAAGATATTCATTTTAAATATTGATCATGAATTATTCACAAATAACTTTTCTGGCATTATATGATAAACACCTATTCTCATAATGAATGTTGATGCTTCCCCAACACTTATGACTGATGAGAGAATAACAACACATTATCTGTCAATTAGTGTTATTTTCATATAAATGAATGATTTTAAAAGATTCATTTTACCTGCCTACATTTATCCTGTATAATTATAGTGTCGAAATTAGTGCATGTTGCCAGTAACAGAGCTAAAATGAAATGACTGCCTAATGAAAACCAAGTTACAGTTCTAAATGAATAAAAGTGTTTTCCAATAGTATATAAAGTTACGAAGCTTCTGTGACCTTTAAGGTAGATAAGGTGTCTTCCTCCATCTTTGATTTTGAAATACCAGAAAACAATCGGTCTTGATCTTTAATATAATGTGCAAATTTTGAGAGTAGTAGGTAATTCATGTGAAAGAATTTTCATTTCAATATAGAATATGACATGTTTTATTATATTTATGGTTGAATGTTTGATTCAATTTTTTATAACTTTGCCACATAAGGGGAGGCAATTAAATGTAAGGGCAGATAATTCAGATAAAATTACTTTTACAATAGAATGTGTTATGAATTTACCTATTTCATTATGAAGCAAGAAAACGAGTCCTGTGACCCCATTTTTTCTTGTTCTTATCTCAAAGCATAATAATAGAGTTATCTTCTCAAATTTTATCTCAAAATTCTATGGTGTAGTTTTTGTGTTATGGCAGAAAATTGGGTTTATTATTATTATTATTAAAAAATTCTATGGATTATAATTTAGACACCCCATCTACCTTAATATATTATGGCAATCTGATTAACTTGTTTCTTCATTTTAGAGATATACTGTAATTGTACTTTTTTTCCCAGGTACTTATTTTCGCGTATTGTGTATTTCAAACAAGTTTGCGGGTATTTCTTTTCACGATTTTTTCTCAAAAATAATAAAAAAAATTGTTTTATAGTTGTGTGTAAATCTGAACTGTATTTAAAGTGAAATCATAAATAGCCCTCAGGTATACTGTATTGCACACTGGGTGATTAGTGCATGCATTTCAGAATGTAAAAGATGACAGTTTGATAAGAGTTTCGGTTATGTCCAGTATTGCAAGAGTCGCACTCGGTAAATGACAAAATGTAGTAAATTTGGTTATTTGTAAATTATCTTCTTGTGTATTTGTTTGTGCTTGTTTTATTTTCATAATATCTAATTATAGATGAAATTTTGTTTATTATCAAATCATTACAGTAAAGCTTTAAAAAACATTGTCTGCTACTATACACACATGTTTGTAAATCAATCAATAACAATAACAATAGAAAGTCATATGGTTCAAGGTAATCTCGAGTCATTATTGATTCTTTGATCTTTAATTGGTTTTTACTTTTTCCTGTTGATATTAATCTTTTTTGTTTATTAATCGGATAAACAGGGTTGTAAACATGTCATGTCATCGACGTAAGGTTAAGTTTACATGCATAGATGAACAGTAAGTTTTCAGTTAAAAAGTTGGATTTAGATTCGTGTGTATTTATTTTCGCAACAATAAACCAACCGCGAAATTTGTGAATATAAATACATCGCGAAAATAACTACAATTACAGTATATTTAACAAGTGTTAGGCTCTGGGCTCCTTTTGTGACAGCAAATTGTAAATAATGATACATACCTCCTTTTTCCTTTCATACAGAGCTCTTTTTCTCTTTTCACCCTCATACTTGTTCTTGCTTATAGCAGATTGCTGCTGCTTCTTGGTTAAAAAATATCTTGCCATTGCACCTACAAAAATCAGTAGCACAATCAAATCTGTGACTATATGTTTTATAATAAAAATTCATGATGTGTAAATATATATATATATATATGAATTCTTTATAGCTAATACCACTTTTATTAAAAATCTAGGGATCAAACTTGGGTCTAGACACTATAGATTGTCAAATCTTTCTAAAAAAGTGGGTGCATTTTGTGGAGGTGTATTAACAATCAATGTGAAATGAGAATACATGTTTCCTTGCAGTGTGATTGAAATCAAAGTGCATTGGGGACATATCAGAAAATGGGAGCGCTGAGAGGTTTTATTTTAATCAGGCTGGGTTCCTAGGTAACTGCATGCATTTATTTTATTATTATTAAATTAGTATCTTCAAATCATACATCAATTGTAGATTTTAAATAACTAATTATAATATTTTATTTGTATCTAAAGAGAGACAACTCTTCTCTTTAACAGAATGATCAGATTGTAAATTATGTTTCCTCATTTTACAATTAATAAAATACAAGGAAAAAGTAAAGACTACTGTAAGCTTTTGAAATTCATATCCACTTACAATTCAATACGGTGATGTCATTGTATGCTGGATTCCAGCCTTTAACAAATGTCACAATATGTGATGTCATATTTTTGTTTACTGCATCACTAACTCTGAAATGAAAAACATATACATGTACATTCTTGCTAATGTATATACTGAGTATACCTATTATATCAATGCATATATCAAGTTTTTGATAACTATATTGTAATCCAATTTTTGTCTTTTAAGTGTATTTAGCTAAGTTGCACATACAGGTTGAGACCACTAATTACATTTGAATAGTAATTTTCAAAATACTAATAAATAAAACACAGCCTTGAAAAATTGACCAATCGACACTATGAACTGTAATGCATTGTGAGTTACTACAAATTTACTAGGCATCACATAAATCATATAGAATTATATGTTAAAAACTATGAACTCATATAGTGTATTAGACTCAAATTCAACATTGTTTTTTATTAGACAACATATAAATTGTAAAATCTATAACAATACATTGTCTTCAATTTGCATGCACAGGTTAAAAAAAATTCTCTGGTGCCTGAAACAACCAACATCAACGTTTTTTCCTTCTTGTCAACACAGTAGAACAGGTTTAGACCATTAGATTTGCTTAAGCTTTGTACACAAGCATTCATTACGTGAAAACAAAATTTTAGGTGCTGATCAAATATTGTAATAATACCTTTTTCCTTCAAAGCTCCAACAGAGACCTTTTTCTTCTCCATCCTTGTACCCTTGTTTCACAGCATTCTACAACATCAGAGTTCATTAAAGATTTTTTTTTGGCCAATTGAATTACTAAAATAATTAAGGAATAACTGTACTGTAAATGAAGAGTTGCCACCGTCAATTGTCGATTTGACAGTCGAAAATACAGTCATACTGGGGAGGCGTAGTAATAACAAAACGAAATGATATGTTAGAGCTTGAAAAAATGTATAAATTTGACAATAAATCGAAAAAATGTATAAATATGACAATTAAAAAATTCTGAAAAACTTCACGAATAATTTTGGTGCAAAGACGTCATGACTAAACGTGATGTCATACAAATGAAAACTTACAATAGCGAAAGTAAATTGGTACAAGAATTTACCTGCTTCTGTACAGCACTATTATGGTAAACCGATTGAAATATGGTCTTCAGAATTATTTGTTCAAGAAGGGCCTGCTTTATTTATACCAGTCCACAGAATTAAATGTAGGTTTGTTCATGCGAAAGCAAAATTTAACAGCAGAAATGTAATTATTGTTGCACCAAGAGAGCGTCATATTTTATGAATATGGATCCAGTTATAATGATACAATCTGTAATCATATTGTTTTACTTTGTACAAAAAAATACAACTATTTAAGAAAATTGATTATATGACAATGTCAAAATTACAATATTTTCTTGTCATGATTCCTTTATTTAATTTCATGAATGTGTCATGACTCTTTTGTGTTTTTTAAAGAAAGTACTTTTTATGGAGTGTATTTGATTATTGTAGATATTTATGATGCTATGAGTATTCTTTTTGTATTGGGTATTAAGAATAAGTGTCTTAATGCAGTGTGTTGTACTAATCTTACATGCCAGTTATTGCTTTGAAACAGTAAAATGTAAACAAATTAAACATTAAGTTTACTATTAAATAAACAATTTCGTTACACTTATTGTAGTTATTTATATACCACTGCTAATTATTTATGTTTGTTTGTTTAAAAAAGCTTGAGTTCATGCATGGTTCTTCTAACCAGGTGTTATACATGTATCATCAAATCATACAAATTTTTAATAAACTATTTGATCACTACAGATCATTACTTAGGGAAAATCCTTTCAAATATATAAAGATGTGTAAATTTTATCACGTAACAAAGTATCGGAGAAAGGTCAAATATTTTCTCAACAGTTTAAGATAGTGAAGTAGATTTATACTCTTTCAGCGAAACATCCTGTAGACAATGGTATTAGAGAGTTTTGCTGAGATTGGTTTATAGACACGACTATTTATACAAGGTTAAATAACTTTCAGTTCAGGACGAGATGGGCCTATTAAATCGCTATGAAAACATATTTGAATTTGAATGATCTTTGTTCTCTTGTGCTCAAACATTGAATGTGATTGTCTTTTGTTTTACACTTAAAAATACACAGAGTGAATCAAACATGTTCCTTATTAAATATTTCAACATGCACAAAATGCCACGTTTGCATGTCATCCCATATAAATGTAGACAAAAAGTGGGGTATAATGTTTTTGTCCTCTGTATTTACATGTACAGAAAGTTACAGATGACTTCCCGCTCAAATTTTACATTCGGTCATAATTTGGGGGGGGGGGGGGGGGTCATAAATAGTTTACCTATACCTTTTGACGTGCATAAAATGTCACAGAAAGTCGGTCCTATACATTTTGACATTCAAAAAATATCCAAGGTTGTCTATTCTATACCTTTTGACACGCACAAAATGTCAAAGATTGTCTGTCCTATACCTTTAGACATGCACAAAATGTGAAAGGTTGTCTGTCCTATACCTTTTAACTTGCACAAAATGTGCAAGGTTGTCTGTCCTATACCTTTTGACGTGCATAAAATGTCACAGAAAGTCTTTCCTATACATTTTGACATTTACAAAATGTCAAAGGTTGTCTGTCCTATACCTTTTGACATGCACAAAATGTCAAAGGTTGTCTGTTCTATACCTTTTGATATGCATAAAATGTCAAAGGTTGTCTGTTCTATACCTTTTGACATGCACAAAAGTCAAAGGTTGTCTGTCCTATACCTTTTGATATGCATAAAATGTCAAAGGTTGTCTGTCCTATACCTTTTGACATGCACAAAATGTCAAATGTTGTCTGTCCTATACCTTTTGATATGCATAAAATGTCAAAGGTTGTCTATTCTATACCTTTTGACATGCACAAAATGTCAAAGGTTGTCTGTCGATTACATTTCAAGGTTCACAAAATGTCAAAGATGGTCTTTTGTTTACATTTCAACTTACCAAAATGTCAAAGATGGTATTTTGTCAATAAAAAGGCGACGAAATATTATCTGTAGAGGAAGGTAGTCTTTTGATTGTATTTCATTATACACAAAAGTCAATCAAAAGATGAGTTTTCATGCAGTGGAGTTCGTATGTATTCGTTAATAGTTTTAGGATATCATACTGTTCATCGCACTATATCATATTGCATTTGCAAGCTCTTGATATCCTGCTAATAACTATATTTTTTGGTATGAGTGCACGAACCGTATGCTAAAATATTCTATGAATGACATACGTGTAACTTTGATATAGTTTTGTGATTTTATATTATATGTATCACATAGTTCAAAGTCATCGTTGAAAAACAATTGATATCTGAAGGAAAAATTAAGGAATTTGCACTGCGACATTAAGATTATTTTGAAAAATCTTAAATGCAATATCCAAATTAACTTTTTCCTTTACGCTAAAATTCAAAAATATTATAACTCGTTTATAATCCCGATTTGTATAAAAATGTTGTCGGTAAAAAATAAAACAAAGATGACAATTCTTTAGACAGATAATTATATTCAATTTAGAATAAAATCGAATATGTATATTCAATTTTGTATTTGTTTTCTTCACAAAGACAACAAATATGACTGATTGGTGTTAATGGATTTCCTACCAATTAAAAATAATTTGAAAGCCAGCAAAGTACTTTTACATCAGTTTTGTTTGAACAAGGTCAAAACTCATTATGATAAAACCTTCCTTTATACTCTATTTAAATTTCATTATTTTTTTAAATTTCATAGACCAAATAGGTATAAAATGTATTTGTTTTTATTTATCTTTTATTTATCTTTTTCTGTGTTTAGATTGCAGTGCATACATAAATTGTGACAAAACATAAGTGAAGCATATGTTGTGTTGTTATCATGGTTATTATGCGACTATGAAATAATATGGATTTACTAGTCTTCGAAGAGAATATACAATATATGATACTTTCGTAGGACTACTTTTGGAGTACATTAAATATTCTCTCATATTTAAAATAAATTCCAGAATCACCGCGATCTGTTGACAAATGACTCGTGTTTGTCTTTTAAAAGATTTAAATGTAGTAAAAATTCAAAATATTTTTAAAAAAATTTCAGAAAAGCATGCACAGATGTTAACAGTCTGTCTTATTATAATATATTTTCATAATTAATGTAATACTTTGACAAAAGAATACAATAATAAAAAACTAAGTTTTCAGAATTCAAAACAACAAACATTACACTGTATTTAGAAGGCATTGATTTGCATCTCTGCCTCCGACAAAAAAGAATAATGGACAGTCATCTCACCGAAAAGAGAATGTCGGTTATACTTTTATATATTCAGGCGTGTTAGATTTGAATGTTTGTATTTAAAACTTATAAAGCATAAATATGTAGTAGTCATCTCGTTTCAGATTCCATTATTTTTATATATTTAGGCTACGTGTTGATATAATAACACTAAAAATTCACGGTACCAAGAAATGAAGTATATGGGTCAAGTGAAATACCTTTTAAATGAGTCATACACCACTGGGTCGATGCCACTGCTGGTGGACGTTTCGTCCCCGAGGGTATCACCAGCCCAGTAGTCAGCACTTCGGTGTTGACATGAATATCAATTATATGGTCATTTTTATAAATTTCCTGTAACAAAATTTTGAATTGGAGTTTTGGGTCCTCAATGCTCTTCAACTTTGTACTTGTTTGGCTTTATAATTATTTTGATCTGAGCGTCACTGATGAGTCTTATGTAGACGAAACACTCGTCTGGCGTATTAAATTATAATCCTGGTACCTTTGATAACTATTTACACCACTGGGTCGATTTCACTGCTGGTGGACGTTTCCGTCCCCGAGGGTATAACCAGCTCAGTAGTCAGCACTTCGGTGTTGAGATGAACATCAATTATATGGTCATTTTTATAAATTTCCTGTTACAAAACTTTGAATATTTCGAAAAACTAAGGATTTTCTTATCCCAGGAATAGATAACCTTAGCCATATTTGGCACAACTTTTTGTAATTTTGGGTCGCCAATGCTCTTCAACTTTGTACTTGTTTGGCTTTATAACTATTTTGATCTGAGCGTCACTGATGAGTCTTATGTAGACGAAACACTCGTCTGGCGTATTAAATTATAATCCTGGTACCTTTGATAACTATCATAACATCAGAGTAGGTGTGTTAGAATAACACAAAAAGCTTTGTGCTACTTCAAATGGTAAATTTGAGGTTTATTTCTTACTTGCATTATATTGTATTTTAGTTCACGCAATTTTTAATTACACATTAGTCATATTGATTATTTTGTTCATGAAATTTCCCCCCCCCCCCACCCCCCTCAAAAAAAGAAGAAGAAGGAAAAGTCGGACACACCGTGCACTAACACCCCAATAGATTTTTATTGAAAACCCATGACGACAGACTTTACAAGTGGATCTTGAAAATGCATAACTTAAAAAATCATTTTTTGTGTGTATTATCTAGGGTAATTGGTCTTCAACCTCTGTTTTTTATTTTAGTCTGCCCTTCCATGAGATATTAAAATAGAATTTGTTTATGTTCAAATTTATTTTTTACTTCCTAGAATTCACCCTTACAACCGATCAGACAATAGTTTTAAAGTTGACAAAAGGCATTTTAAAAATTTTCAGATGACAAAAGGCATTAAAGTACATTACATGATGTCATTTAGCGGTATTTTTGTCAATGCCATATAAGCGGGAGGTTTGGCTAGCCATAAAACCAGGTTCAACCCACCATTTATTCTTAAAATGTGCTGTACCAAGTCAGGAATATGTCTGTTGTTATCACATAGTCCGTTTCTATGTATGTTGGCGTTTGTTTTTGTAGCAGTTGAGTGTTTCCTTTCAGTTTTGGATTGTGACCCGGATTTGTTTCAGTTAAATCGATTTATGACTATTGAACAGCGGTATACTACTATTGCCTTTATTAATAGTTAGTAGATACATATGTGTGTTAAAATACAAGTGTCATGTAAGAATTGTAATGTTATGTGGATTCATTTGTCGGTTTTTAAGAGCTAAATTGACAGCGTGTCATCCTTACAATAGCATTCATTTTCGAGATTGAAAAATTTGGTGGCGCAATGGGGAAATAATTTTTACGAAGTAGAATCCTAACGGTTTCAAGTAAAGTGGAATGGTAGGTTTGATGGACTGACTTACTGCAAAAGTAATATTTAAGTTATGTTTTAGATAACTAGCTTCGTGAGACCAAATTTCCCCATTGTT